AAGACATCTATAAAGCGTCAACCGTCATGACTCCGAGGTAGGTGTGCACATGGAAGTTTGTGAAGAACGAGAAGGGCGAAATGGAACGTGCCATCGTATGGCGCTTCGTGCTTCGAGGCTCCATGGGCCTTGACGCCCTTGACGTGGAACTCTTTTACGGGGGCAGCACGGCGGTCACGCCAGAGACCAGTCGCGAGCGCGGCAGCGTGCGAGAAACCATGGATCATTGCCTCCCTCGACATCAACATGGCCATCCTGAAAGGGTTGACCTACCAGGAACTTGCTGAGGCAACCGGTGAAAAGGGACGTGTGGCGCGTTTTACTTTGCCGCCTGGATCGGCGACGGTGCTTCGACATTTCCCAGGATTCGAACACCGCGACGAATCGAAACACTGCCTGCAGCGCCTTAAGCCAGGCACTGGCACCAAAGACGCACCCAAAGCTTTCTCATTAAAGCTCAGAAGGACCGCGAGAGGTTTTGTTTTCGGACCCACGCCCTACGACGAGGAGTTCGAGACGAGCAGTGACCTGTTTACGGCCAACTATGTTGATGATATCAATATGGTCGGAACTGAGGACACCATTGACATGCGTGTCAAGTGGGTGGAAGACACCTTTGGTCAAGTGTAAGCTCAACAAGCACACGTGCACCAATTGTGCTGTCAAGCCGCTCCGTCCTATACAACATCCTGAACTTGCCGGGGCCGACGCTGGCGCCCATGCATCCAAGATGGTTGCAGGCGTGGTCGTCAGCCTTTGAGGCGCACTGGCGCATGCATTAATCACCCAGGCGTGGTTGATGGTGTGTGTTGTTCCTTCACAACGTGTCCAAGACTCGACCAATCTACAAGTGCGACGACTGAGCGCGATTTCCAGGAAGCTGCAGGTCTGCCCTAAGAAGACCGCCAACCAGGCGATGACCCCTACGGGCGAGGTTGACCTGCGCAGCGACTCAGGTTACCGACGCCTGGGTGGAGACGCTGATGACGACGTCGGAGGCTATGGTATGCGCGGGGCAAACCTACTGCGGCGTGGAAGCGCGCCATCTGGGAATCCCGTCGTTCATTTGATCGGTGCGTACTGCAAGTCTCACCGCCTGCAGGTCCGCTCGAGCCATTCAGCAGAGACACTAGCAGCTGCCCGCAACTTGGAGGACTGTTACCCCACGGCCTTGACTTTGCACGAGCTCCACGCAGGGCCTCTAATTCCCACTCATTTGAACGACAGACTTGAGTTGGGTGGCCTGAGCATCGAGGTCATTTTGACCATAGATGCTGAGTCTGCTTTTAAAGTCCTTGTCAAGCAAAGACTTGAAGAAGCCCACTAGGTGTACTCTTTTTTAGGGCGCATCAGCTGGATGCGACAGATGATGGAGCGAGGAATCGTGCGCAGTATTCAGTGGTGTGACACCCGCGATATGACTGCGGACGGTCACACCAAGGGGGGCATCGACGGAGAAATGATCCTACAGGTCATGGGAGGTACAATCCTTCAAACATGATTTAAAGCGTCATACTTCCTATCGGGCTGGCCAGACATCTCGTTCTGTAGCCGCTTGAGGAGTACTCAGATGCACAGTATAGTGCATGCAAGGCAACGTGCGTGCGGGTCCACCTTCCTTACGGCCCCGCCCTTCTGCTGCCCTTTTTGTAAATAGTCGCTGCTGTACCTGCTGTATAGAGGCGGCGGACTCACGCCTCGTCTCCATCCCCCAAGTGAGCTGGGCGTTGCATGTGAGTGGGAACGAGCGCGCATCCGCGGCTGCTTGGCTCAAAGCGGCCGGCCGCCCAGATCTGACTACACCTCAGCGCGAGGTGTACCATTTGCCATCGATACCGAAATTGCTTAAGATGGCTCGCCCCCTACTAGTGGGATTATCGTTACTACGGTGCAGCAGAGCGGGAGCTGGGCTTCGCCTAAGGCGAAGCTGCTGGTTGGGCCTCCCAGCCCTTTTCAAACTCCGTCTTGGCGCCTCTTAGGCCGTCATGGGGCGCTCTTTGGCCGTCTTGGGGCCTTCCAGGTAGGAGGAGTCGGCTTGCAGGGGGGGGCGGGCGCGGGGGGGGCGCCAACGACCGCGCCGATTCCATCGCGGCCCGCTGCCCCTTCCTGGGGCTCTCAGGAATCCTCTTGGCCCAGTCGGCCTCGCAGTCGGCGCTGGCGTCGTCGCCCGCGAGCGCCAGCCGGCGGGCGGGCCGACCTTGTTGCGCATGTTTGGCGCGAGAGACCCGCGCAGGCCTCGCGCTGCGCCCGCGCCCCAGGGCGACGGCCCAGGCCCTTGTAGCCTCCCGCGCTGACGCGATGGCCTCGCGCGCGCGCAGGAGCGGGCGCCGCCGACCGTTCGGTTCGGTCCCGCGCACTTCTAATGCGAGAACGCAAAGCCCCCCATGCTGCTCGCGCGCTTTGCGCGCTGAGCAATGCGATGCAGTTGCGACGGCCGCGCGTTCAATTTGAAACCGCAACGCAAGTTTCCATTCCCGCGCGCGGTGCGGTGCATGAACTTACAGATGCGCCGACGGTCGAGAATTCGCGCGCGCGCCCGCGCCTGCCATGTTGGGCGCGCGCACTGGACCCGGAAATCTGTGGCTCGGCCGCCCGATGCGCCCCAAAAGTCGCCCCGCCCCCCCCCCCCCGCCCCCCTCCCCCTCAAAACTCTTCCGCGCTCCTGGAAAAACCACGCCGCCGAGGCGGGAGCTCGGGCCGCGGCCTGATGGTCTCCGGGGCACAGGGGAATCAAAGGAATCAGTACGGAATCAGTACAGAATCAAAACAGAATCGGCACAACTGCGACCCCTGATTCTAGCGGAATCAAAAGAATCAGTACGGAATCAATACGGAATCAAAGGTGGAATCGGCGATGGAACCAGAATCGGCCAGAACGGCGAAGTAGGCCAGAATCGGTGCCAGAACTCATGCAGAGAGGCCTTTTTCCCGCGAGTTCACTGCGGCGGGTGCGCGGCGCGGGCGCGCCGCGCGACTTCGCTGGTTCAGCGAGGCGCGCAGTCGGCGTTCAGAGTGAACAGGTTCTTTTCAGGGCGATATCCTGGCGGCGCGCTGGCGCATTGCGCATTTGCGCATTCCTGGCGGGCTGTTTGAGGGCGACCCGGCAGCGTCGGCCGAATGGCCCGCAAATACCGCGCGGCCGATCGCGCGCCCCGTGCGGCCACGTCGACCGCCGTGTGCCGCGACGGCCGCGCGCCCCGGACCGCGCCATTGCCGCGTTGGATTGGACGGCGCAGCGCCCGTCCTCCAACAGTCGTCACGTGCATATCGCGCGTGTCGAGCCAGCAGCAGTCGCTCCCAGAAGCAGCCTCGACAGGCGCACCATGCCCTCTGTCGCCCGGTTCCGATCCAAATCATAGTTTCTTAGGATGCGCTTGCGCGAATGTGGGCGCGCGGGCAAGTAACGCGTGCGCGCGCTTGGCGCAGCCTGGGAAATCCAACATGGAGCCCCCCGGGGGCGCGGGGCGCCGGCGACGCCTCCGCCCGCCTCCCGCGCGCCCGACCCCCCCCGCAAGCCGACTCCTCCTACTTCCAGGAAACCTCTCGGGCTGTTTTGAGGTGGTTTTTGGGGCCTCTTGGGCCGACTTGCAACGTCGGAGAGCAGAACAGGCCTGAACACCCAAATCCTTCACCTCAGGCAGGTCAATGGTTATTGCCTCTTGGGGCTCTCTTGGGAGGCCATCTTGGTGCGTTTTGGAGGCCTCTTGGGCCATCATGGGGCCATATTGGGCGTCTTGGAGCGATCTTTCGCTGACTCGGGGCCCTATTGGACCATCTTGTGGGCCTCGTGGGGCCCTCTTGGCCTGTCTTCGGGCCCTCGTGCCCGGGCCCGAAGAAATGCTGCGACACTCCGCGACGGGTCCCAAGGGACACGCGTGGAGCCCCGCCAACTCTAGGAACTTCGGGTCTGGCCCCATCAGAGATTTTTCAGGTCTGAGGATTGGGGTTGCAGGGATTCGGCATAGGACCTGATGACACGCTCACTCCGTGCCTAGAGGGACGGTGTCGGATACTTGGTGTACGTTGTATGGTATAGGTTGCAGTGGAGGCCAGTCCACAAGAAACTTTCCACAAGAAACCCAACCCTGAGACCCCAAGGTGTCCCCTGAGTCTTGGCGTGGGAACGTTGCGCTGTCCATCGCGCGCAACCGCCGAAACCCAGGGAACCCGGGGCACCCTGGAGGCACGCAGGGGTGTCTCTTGGCCTGGGTCTCCACTGTGTGTGATTCATCAAGGGTATTTTAAACCCAACGCCCCTACCCTGGTTTACGAAGCGCTGTGCGCTGAAACCCCTGTGGGCTGACAGGGTAAACCCTGCGTGATGTGCCGCGTCCTGGCGGCTCTAGGCTTGGGGGGTACCCAGGAGGTTTACAAACCGCGCACTTGTAACCCTCAAATCCAGCTGCGTGGTGAGCGCTCTGTCATGTAAGCTCCGGGCACGGGACGCCCACCCGGGCGCGCGGGCGGCAGCGTGGCGCGGCTGCGGGACACACGCGCCCGGCGCACTGGGCGCCCCCGGGGCGGCTCGGGCGGTGTCGTGGCGCAACCTCGGCATACAGTTCGGGGGCGGCAAAGAGGGGGGTGATGACTAGGGGTGTGTGGATATCATGGCGGGGGCCATGATATTTCCCCAGACTTCATGGCGCCTATTCTAATGTCGTTGCGTCCCTGGCCCCCCCGCTGGGCCGCGCACGTGCCGCCTGTCATGGTCTGCACCCCCCCCCTCTTGGACACCCCGGGAGTGTCGTGGCGCAACCTCGGCATACAGTCGGGGCGGTGAAGAAGGAGCCCTTTTCGTTGGGGAGGGGCTCCGTGTTCCTCAATGGCTTCGCTGTTTGCCGAAGGTGTTCCTGATCTAGGGTTCCTTAGGTCAACGCCCCGACTGTGCCCCCCCCCCACCCCCCCAGCGCACGGGGCGCCGACGAGGCGTGCCCACGAGGCGGCACGGGCGGCGACGTGATGCATCCTTGGCGAGCCCGTGAGCGCGGGGCGCCAACGAGACGGCACGGGATGGCAACGTGGCGCAACCTCGGGAAGCCCACCCAGCGCACGGGGCTCCCACGCGGCGACCACGAGGCGTCACGGACGGCAAAGTGGCGATCGCGGGTTTCTTGGATCCGTGCTGGGCGCCACTGGCGGCGCCTCCGTCGGGCGCGCTCCGCGCGCCATGGAGTGGGGTCCGGCGCGGATCCAAGAAATCCGCGCAGAGCGCCAACAGTTTATGTGCATGCTGTTCTGTTCTTCAGAAGCAGGAGAAGTCAAATCTCCTGAGTACCAGCATCGTTCAGGAAAGCTCGTAGCTCGTCTAGCCGTTGTGGCGCTGCTTGCTGGCGCCACAGTCCCAGCGGCGTAGGGCCTGACCCTCCAGTCCTGTCTCCTCTCGCTCCTCCTCCTCCTCCTCCTCCTCCTCCTTGTCTGCCCTTCTTCATCTCTCCTCTCCTCCCGTTAGGGGACGCAACCACTTCGCAACCTCGATCCCCGATCTGCGGCGGGATTTTTCTCTCCCACGGACACAGAGTGCTGCTCAGGTCTGGTGGGCGTGGGAGGCGTGGGCTCGCAGGAGCGTCGGCGGGCGCGCGCGCGCAAGGCGATGTGGGAAGGGGAAGGGGAAGGGGGAGGAGGAGGAGGAGGAGGAGGAGGAGGAGGAGGAGGAGGAGGAGGAGGAAGAAGAAGGGGAGGAGGAGGGGGGGGGAGGAGGAGGAGGAGGAGGAAGGGGGGGAAGAGGCGAGGAGGCAGAGGAGGATGCTGATGAGGAGAACGCGGAGGCGGAGGCGGAGGCGGAGGCGGAGGCGGAGGCGGAGGCGGAGGAGGCTTGGTCCGTATTGGGGGCCTCTTGGGCTGTCTTCGGGTCTTCTTCGACCGTCTGGGGGTCCTCTTGGGGGCGTCTTGGGGCGTCTTGGGGCGATCTTGTGGGCCTCTTGGGCCGTCTTGGAGGTTCGACGGCTCGAACAGGCGAGAACGCTAAATTCATTCAAAACCAAAAGGGGATCAATGGCGCCCTTTCGGGAGGCCTCTTACAAAGCCCTCTCTCGGGGCGTCTTGGGCACCTTGGGCTGTCTGGACGGCATCTTGGGCGTCCTGGAGCGGTTTTTGGGCGACTCGGGGCCCGGGGCATCTCGGGGCCCTCTCAGGCAGTTTGGGGACCTCTTGCCCACATGAAAGTGACGCGGGGACGCTCGCCAGGCCCCCGGACTGTGGGCCCCCTTACGGGTATTATTCTAGTCAGCGCAGAGTACTCGAAGGGGCCTGAGGGCACTCAGCTGCGTGCTTCGGCGCACGGTGGAGGATCTGAGAGAAGACCCGCCAAGGCGATAGTGCACCAATGTACAACTGTTTTGAGATACGTCGCGTATCATGTTGTTACTCCTCTCTAGGGAGCGGCCGGCAGGTAGTTTGGCACTCCAATCGCACGCTCACCAGGGTTGACGTCCATCTGCGTTGGTGCCAGCCAGTTAGTAATTTCAGGACCGTCTGCAGCCCCTCACTCCTCGGCAGACTTAGCAAGCGTGTCGCGGACTTTCGTGGTGCACTATCTTCAGTGGCTTGTGCCTTGGATCGATGCCAGGCACCTGCATGTCGCTGTTTATGTTCAAGTTTGCCGCTCAGCATCTAGACCTCCTCATCGCTACCTCCATCGTATGCACCCTACCTACAGTACCCTCCCGCCTCTCATCTGCGCCAAGCAACTTACAACGATTGCACACTTACCCTCAGGCCGTAGAAGCGTCCTCTGTGTGCTCGTGTACGGGGTGGCATTGCGTATAAATCCGCATTCCACCCCGCATGTGAGCGGCGACCGCCATGCCTGCAACACCTCGGGGACTTGAATTGCTGCCACCTGCCGTCTTTGGGCAGGCACAGCGTAGGCACACGGATGCAATTGTATGGCGGTCGGAATTGCATGCAATTGCGGCGATGGCTCTGCGAGGGCTTGTGAGCCCAAACTCCGGTCTTGCGTTTGTAGTTTTACATGCAGTTGGACGCAGCGCTTGTGGCGCTGCTGTGCCACCAATTCTTTTCCGAGTCCCGCGCTCATATTGGAGCGCTGCTTTTCCAGAAAGGTCGACCTCGCGTCGCAGAACGGCTTTGCGCGTGCTGCGCAAGCCCCGGCACGTGCACCACAGGCCGCGCAGACCGCCGGGCTGGGGAGCGCCAGCTTGGTTCAAGTCGGGCGTGTCCCTCTACAGGAGGAACGTTCAAAAATAGTCCCAAAATAGTCAGGGGACGACTTTCTGACTATTCTTGGCTACCGTGGAGCGTTTTTTTGGTGTATGTGTTTATTTTCCGTCCCAAATCCGCCTGCAGGAGGACATGCCCGACCTAAAGCTCGGTCTGGGGCTCCCCCCAAGGGCCCGCTCGGCGTCCGAGCCCGTGAGGCCGCCGAGTGGGCTCCACCCCCACAGGGCGCGCGGGGCCGGGGGCCCGCTCGGCTGCCGGAGGGGCTTGATCCCGGGCCCCTTCGGCCGCCGAGTGGGCCAGACGCCGACGAGGCTCAGAGGAGGCAACAGGTGACCCTGGGGGCAGCGCCGATGCATGTGGCCACTGAGGCCTGGGGCCAGGGCGAATCCTCCAGCCTCCTTGGGGCACGGCCTGTGGGTGGGGGTGGGGTTGCGATCAGTGGGGCCTCTCCGCAGGTCCTGCAGTCAGCCCGCATGCCTGGCCAGGGGGAGCCACTGTCCGAGCTCATCCTCGTATCCTTCCCCTCTCGGCCCGTCCTTGGCCGCTCTCGCAGTGTGTCGACATGGCCTCCCAGGGCCCCTGCAGCCTCACCGCGCATCCCCATTATTCAGGAGGGGAAGAAACACACAGACACAATTAATCGTCGATTCCCTAGAAAATATGGTAAAATATGGCAAGTGGGGGGGAAGACAAAAACCCAACGAATATAGGAAAGTATGGGGAATCTTTTTATTTGCGTGTATTTATTTGTGTGTCCCGGGGCCCCTTCAATTATGCGGATTGGCTCTGCTCCCCCCTGGCCAGCCCTCGGCCCCTCCCCGGCCTGGGTGGCGGCCGCCGAGGCATCGGCGGCCGTCGCCCTCCGGCAGGGTCACGCACGGGCGGGGCTCGGCAGACCAGGCCAGACGAGGGCTCGTGGCTCACGGGGGGGGAGGTCGGGCGGGGCTGGGGCCAGGGGAACGAGGAATGACGTAGCACCCCGCAATGATAAGAGTGAGGGGGCGGGCGCGGGCGACACGGGCGTCGTCGAGCTGACGGACCTCGTGGCCCCCACCTTCCCTGTTGATGGCGCTCTCCTCCTCCTCCTCCTCCTCCTCCTCCTCCTCCTAATGACATGGGCATTAAAAACTCAGAGGTCCGAGTTTTGACCGTTGGTGTCATTCTTCGGTCCCCCAAGGGGCGTTCCAGGGCGCGTTCTGGGACGCTCTTGGAGCGTTCCCGGAACGCTTTGAGCAGGCCGCGACGCCCGGATCTCGGAAGTTCTCGAGTGATCCTCGCCCGAGTGTGTCCTCACTCTTCTCTCCATCTGTCCAGGCCAGGTCGGCCGGTGGCTCGTGGTTCGTGGGGGGGGGAGGGGGGCCGTCTGGAGCCATCCTGGGGCCCTGTCAGTGGGGGCTGTCGCTGGAGGCTTCACAGCAGACCTGGCACCCGAATCGTGAAACTGTGGGACGGTGACGTGGGTGGAGCGCGGCATTCGTTTAGATTGCGGCTCTCTGACCTCAGAGCGTGAATTCCTACCCCGCTTTCGCTTCCAGGCAGAACCAAGTCATACCACGCGCCTCCTCGTCAAGCGGCCTGACCAGTACAGGCCGTAGTTTGGCATCGCTTGGTATCTCTTGGAAGCGAGGGTGGTCAAAAGCGAGGTAGGTTTGTTTGCCCCCTATGACCGGAGGTTTCTTCAACAAAACTGTAAGCTGAGCAGTAGCTACAGCTGTGGAGGACGGCTTCTTTTCAAAGTGGGGCCCCCTTGTGCAGCTCCATCAACCTTGACGGCTCGGCGCGTGACACTGCCCAACCGCTGCATGGCTGTAAGTCGGTCCTTTTTTTCAATACTGGACTCTCGTTTGGCATCTCCTTCAGGATAGTTCCTCGCGTAACATGGCGTTCTTCAGGATAGCTCCTGTTCCAAACAGGGCCCTGGCCTGGCCAATGGTAGGCCCGTGGGATGCTCTTCGACCAAGCAAGGCGAAGGCGGGTGCCCAAGAGGAGGGGTGCTTCCAGTGCTGGGAAGGCCTTGCGGCCGGTGCCGCCGTCCCTGAAGGGGGACGACGACGGTGGCGGCGTCGGCGGCGGCGACGCTGACATGGGGCAGAGTCCTCAGTGATGCGTCGTGGGGCCTCTTCGGGGCGCGCTCGTAGGCCTCTGGGGGGCAGTTTTGGGGCCTCTTGGGAGCCTTGGGACGACGACGACTACCACGACGACGACGACGACGACGACGAGTCAAACAGAGCAGCCTCTCACACGCCGGCAGGGGCTGCGTTTTTTTTTGTAGTGTCGGATATGATGGTTTTTCGGAGGATCGAGGTTCGAGGTTTTTGTGCGCTTTCGCCTTTTCCGTGCCGTCGTCACCGCAGGCGGAGTCTCCCGCCATGAAAGAATTCCAGACATGCTCGCGTCGTGACAAAATCACGACAGGAGGTTTTTAGCAGTATTCGGTTTCCGGCGGTTCTCGCTGGGCCCCAGGACTGTCAAAAGACGATTCAGGATGAGAAACGGGTCGGGACTTCGGGGACCCCGTAGTGAACAAATCAAGACACCGCGTGTCTGGAAAGTGGTCTGGCGACCGCTGGCTCGCTGGGCCGGCCTTTCTCCTTCCTGCCCGCGTCTCCCCCCCCCCCGCTCGCTACCCCCCCTCCCATGGCGGCAGCGCCCAGCACTGCGCGGCTCCGGCCCGGTGCCTGGCGCTGCACCTTGCCGCCTTCGCGGCCTCGCGGGCCTTGGCGCTGCTCGGCTTAGGCCCGGCCCTTGGCACTGCGGAGCGGCAGCGCAACGTGTGTTTCTCCAACCCGTTCCCACGCGCTTGCCGCCGCGGGGCGGGCGTCCTCCCTGCAGCACACCGGCACCCTGTCGGTTATGGGCGGCAAGTTACCGGCTTCGCCTGGCCGCCGCGCCTCAGACTGAGGCTGCTTTCCCATGCTCGTGGCACCTTGGACTACCACGCATCCTGTTTGGTGGCGCAACGTTGCGCTCCGACCCAGTGGTGCTCCTCTTCCTCTCGGGCGTTGTCCTGGTTGCATGGCGCGTCCTCTCCCGCAGTTGATGTGGCTGGTGTGCTCGAAGCGCCGCTGACGGCGCCGCCAAAAGCTTATCGCCTCCCGGGACTTCGCCACTGGGTCTCTGTCCAAGGCGTACCTTTTTTTGCACTTCGATTCCAGCGCCGCCTGTTCCCAGGACTTTTCCCTCTCTTGGCCTGGACGTGAGGCCCCGCCTTGTTTTGCCCCCCTCTGCTAATTAAAGTTGTGCGTGGCCCGATTAGCTTCTATCGGAAGAGGCTCGTTCTCGACCCGCGGATCAAAACAAGTGTTTGGAAAATGGTGCAGTGGAAGCCCATATCAAGAAGCACCCTGCTTGCCTCCGGACCCTGGTTTTCGTAACTTTCGATGGTTTTGCTACAGAGAGCGTGGCGTTCCCACGCCAACAATGTATGGACGTCCTGGGGTTCCAGGCTTGGGCTTCTTGTGACAGGCTTCCGAGCTTTTGCTGTATGCAGGGTGGAGGTTCAGGCGTACGTGCGCTCTCGCTTTGTCGCCTCAGCGGGATCCCTCCCTGGCGTCCTGGCGAAAACCCATCCCGACAGAGGCCAGGGAGTTTTTTTTTTTTTTTTGGGGGGGTTCGAGTTCGATCTGCCTTATCCCCTCCTCCCGCACGTGGCACAACTCGTTGCAACGACACCCCCGTTTAGGCAGTTCATCGCCAGCGCAGTTTCTCTGCCTGGCCGCCGACGCAAGCAAGTTTCGGGCTCGGCATGAAGAAAAGGGGGCCCTGGCGCCAGTCGGGTCCTGGAGATGTCTTGCCGTTTTCGGGCCCTCGGCAGGAAGAAGAGGGGCGTCCTGGGGACCCGGAGAGGTGCCTTGCCGCTCTCGGGCTTCGGGGGGTGTTCCCCCCCCCCCCCCCCGGGCCGCAACGAGCGACTCGGTAGGGAGAGCTTGTCCCAGGGAGCAGGCCCGTGTCGGGTATGACCAGGACCCCGGGTAAGGGGACCCGGTTAGTGGCAGGGCCCCGGAGCCTTTGAATTGGCCAGAATCACTAAACCAGGTTTGCCATAGCTTGTGTTCTTTCGGGTGACGGCAGTTCCGTTTAGTGGAAAAGGGACGGGGGGGGCGCCCCCGGTACAGATCACTAAACCAGGTTCCACTCAACCCAGTTCTACCGACGCCCGACCGTGAGGCCCAGGACACGCTCCCGTGCCGGGCCCTGCGGTGCGGGGAGCCTCGCTTCATGAACGGGTGTCCACGGGTCCGGGGGACTTCCGAGCCTGCCGAGGCCTTTTCCTTTTCATGTCCCCGCCCCGCTCGTCGCCGATCCTGCTCCGCCGCAGAAGCATAAGAGGATCGGGCCGAGGTGTGAGAGCTCGCGGGGGGGGCCCTGATATTTCTTCGTGCCTGTCTGGTGTTTTTGTGCATCCTGGGGGAGGGTACCCTCGGTGGTCTTATGGTTCGGGGTGTTTTGGCCGGCGGAGGGTTTCCTGCTCTTGAGGAATGTTCATGGATTGTTCGTGGGCCTCGGGGTGGGGTGGCGGTGCATGGATCACCTACGCCGCCACCCTCCTTGAAGATGCACGAAAGTTCGTCGGACGGTGTTTGCGAATCTATATTGTCGTGGCGTGCTTTCGTTTTTCGGCGGGGGTGGTCAGCTCGTGGTGTCACAGGCTGAGCGGCCTGCGCAGCTCCTGGGCATGTCCCCCGCGGCTGCTTTCCGTGCCGCCCCGGCCTGCGAGGGACGCGAGCGAGAGGCGCGCGCCCTTGGCGTCGCTGGAACGGGCTCCCTTCCGTCCGCCCTCTCCCCCTCCTCCCCCTCTCCCCTCCTCTCCCCTCCCCTTCCCTCCCTTTCTCTCCTCTCCCTCCCTCCCCTCTCCCTGCTTGCCTCCCTCCCTCGCGCGCTCCCCCGCATCTAACAGCTCCTCTGGCAGCTCCTCCCGCCGCCGCGCCGCTGCGCCGCAGCCTGCCCAAGAGATGCCCGCACGCCATACGATGGGGACGCTGGGCGCCGCGGGGCGCCCCGCCGCGGGGGCCCCGCCGCGGGCGTTG